TTGATATCATATCCAGAAACTCTGACAGTGAAAAAGTTGATCAAAATGAAGTTTTAAATATAAAAATATACAGTAGAACCCCGCTAAATCGGGAGACAAATATTGTTCGCGGGGGTTGAGTCAACGGGGGTCGGTGTTGGATTTTGTTTATTATATTAAATAGTTAATAATTAGGTACAGTCGTTATATTCATTATTGGCTCTATAAAGAACTTACAAATTTGTACTACTGTTGCCTAATTTAAACAGTCCCTATACCTACCTATAACCTACACTGTAAAAACAACTTGGTTAAAACAACCAACAAAGTGGTGATCTCAGATTCAAGATGGGTTTGAGGCAACCAATTTGTTGGTTCAGTTTCAACCAATTTGTTTTTACAGTGTAGATCAGTAATGATTGACGCAACTTGCATGTTGAACCTTTTATCTCTTTATCGACCTGATTTACGTTTGTCTATATATATTATATACCAATTAAATTCTGGTTGTCTGAATAGAAATCCAAGCTTCCGACTTGTCAATGTGTCATGTTCTGACCGGAGGTTTTCCGATCCACGCCTCAAAAATTCAGTTCGAGTTAAATTAAATTAACGTGGTAAATTTTACCGAGGCAGAATGAATTTTTTTGGGTCAATTTCAGGAGAAATTGGATTTAGTTCGTGTTAGCGGAAAACATCTCCCTCCCACGTTTTGGACATTCGTGATATATGATGTGTAACGAACTTAGGTCTGTTGGCGAAATCCGCCACGACTTTTTGGAATGGATTATTAATTCTCGTCGAAAGCTATATTAATTCTTTTGTACCACCTCCAGAATATCTCGTAAATCTCATAATTATCACACTCCGGATATTATCTGAGATCACATAATAGTTTGGTACTCTTGTGACAAAGCATTCCAATCAGCTGTTCCAAAACAATGAATTAAATTACCAGGATTTTATCGCAATATAATTATAATTAAAGCAGTCTCAAACAGACTTAAATATCAGTATTATCAATACGTACGTGTATTAGCTATACACCGTACATTGGCATCACCTTCGTATTTATACACGACAACT